TGAAACAAAACTCAAAACTGGGTTTATGGTGGTGAAGACATGCAAATAATGGTGGTTTTGGTGTTCAACAAGCCAAAATTTTTGGTGATGATGGTGGTTTGTTTCACAGGAAGAAAGGGAGAGCTGAGAGAGAGTGAGAGAACTCTAGAGAGAACGGGAGAGAAAAGGGAGAAGAGAGAGAGTTCCAGCATTTTTGGGTGCCCACGTGACACTCACCCAATGGTTTGACAAAAATATCACATGTCCAATTAATTATCAATTTACCAAAATATCCTCAACATTCAAAACCTTATAAAATCTTCGTTATAATTTTGAATCACATTATGTTGGCGCCCATGCATTCGTATCGACAAGTACTATCCAGATATATAAGGATACGTGGAAAAATACGTAGGGGTCGAATACGCCGTACATATAAAACGTCGAAACTAAGAATACGAAATGCGGAATACATAATTTTAAGCAATGAAATCCGGGAATGGGATTTCACATTGGAAGCATCGACTGTATGCACTGGACCTGGAAAAAATGTCCAAGTGCATGGCAAAGAGCTTATGAGAACAAAAAATGAGCAAAAAAAAAATTCATTTTGGAGGCGGTGGCTTCATTTGATACATGGATTTGGCACGTTTTTTTGGGTGTTTCGGAGGCTCAAAATGACCTCAATGTCCTTACCCAATCCCCATTGTTCAATGATGTCTTGCAAGGAAAAGCATCAAGAGTCACGTATTGGGTCAATGGACATAAGTACCACAGGCCATACTACCTAGCATACGACATTTACCCAAGGTGGTCATCATTTGTCACAGTGCCACGTTCGCGAAGTGCAAAGGAAAAACACTTTGCAAGCTATCAAGAGAGGTGTAGGAAGGATGTGGAGTGTTGTTTTGGTATCCTCCAAGCTCGTTGGGCGATTGTCAGGGGTGATGCCAAAATGTTTGATTTAGAGTCGTTTCGATCCATCATGATGACGTGCATCATTCTTCACAACATGATTATGAAAAATGAGTACAATTATGATGCCATTGATGAATATGAGGCAGACACGATGAACAATTCTAGAACACAAATATATTGTGCTCATGATGCCACCGAATAACCCATGCAACAAGAGCCATAACAAAGGGATGGACATTACAATGAAAAGCTCATTCAACGATGTACTGCACTTCAGAACCCATATATGCACAATGGCCGGCAAATTGACTTGATAGAGCACCAATGGGAATTGAAACAAGCTCAAGAAACTTAAGTTCATTTAGTGTGTTTGTTTTTATTTGGTGTGTTTATTTAATTTTATTTGGTGTGTTTTTTAAGTTCATTTAGTGAGTTTTTTTTCATTTTGTATGTTTGTAATTTTATTTGGTATGTTTCTGTAATTTTATTTGGTGTGTTTATGTCATTTGAATAAAAATTCTCTTAGTTTAAATAAATTACCAAATTAAATAAATATACTCTTAGTTTAAATAAAGTACTAAATTCAATAAATTGGAAACAACATAAAGTACTCTATTCAATAAATAAGAAATTACAACCCAAAATGATTGGAAAGTTATGGGCTCCGATTAAAAACAAATTCCCTAGTCCCTCGTGAATGGAAAATCATCACCTAACCAATTTCTGGTGCTAGGATCATCTCCTCTTGTCATGCTAGGATCATCTCCTCTTGCTCTCGCTTCTCTTGTATGCCTCCTTCGCACCACATTCGCTTTCTCTAAATTCCAAAAATATTTAGAATTCAGAGACATCGCCTCTACAGGCTCCTTCATAATGTCACGATCTTGTTGAGCCCTTCTTTCTTCTCTAAGCGTGTTACACCCCACCCTCAATTTTAAAGGTAGTTTTAGGTTTTTATTTAAAAATGGTTTTTGTGTCTTAATTGGTGAGCCCAATGGGGCCCACCCTCTGATTTGTCCCCCGATTCCTTTCCCCTTTTCTTTCTTTTTCTGATTTTTATAACTCTTTCTCTATCTCTCTCTCTTTCTCTCCCCGAAACTCTCTGCACTTCTCTCTTGACCTCATTATTCCCTCCTCACCGTCGAACACACACACACAAACAAACATACAAACACACGACAACAGCACCACCATCGTTGGGCCTTTCGTCTTTCCCTCATCCTTTGTGAAGCACAGAGACCACTCAAACATGCTTAGCACACCCACTCCAGCAAGTTCTACTATTCCTGACTAGGTGAGGCTCGAAATACCATCACTTATTCATCATTTTCAACGTTTTGGTGATTTTAATGAAAATAGGTACTGTCTTGGGGATGTTTTAACACAGGAAAACCACCTCAGAGAACTAAACCCAGATTTCAACAAATACATGTGACTTTCAGGCCACTTTTCGGCCAAACCATGGTGAGTTAGCCGACGTTTAAGGTATCAACCTCTTCGTCTCGCTGAGTACTACAACTTTCCTTTTTGTTTCACCCAATTTTGTTAAGTATTGAAGAAGTTATATCCATTTGAATCTTACCCAGTTTTCGGCAATCTTTGCGGCTTTCGAGGTGTTTCCCTGCCAAAACACGGCGAGTTGGGTATTGACAAAGTTATTAACGTTTAAAGTTTGTTCAGGTTTCCAGCCGAATTTCAGCATTTTCCTTCCTTTGGGCCCGACGACCCATGTTTTGAACTCAGGTCTGCCTTTCAAGCCCAAAGCCTCTTCGAACTAGGCCCTTGGGGCTGTGTAAAATGTGGGCCTTGTAGATAGGCCTTTGGGCCATTCAACCTAACCTAAAAACCCTTTATGACCCATCCCTTAGGGCAGCCCAACCCGTGTCCCTTTAACCTTTTATCCCAGGCCTTCGGGCCGTTCATGCCAAGCCCAAAACCCTGGACAGCCCAACCCAACCCAACCCAACTCTTTTATTTCTTTTATTTTTTAATTATGTTGTTAATTTAAAGGCCTTTGGGCCATTTCTCTCTAGGGCCTTAGGCCCATGCACTTTAAACCCTAAATCCTTTGAATTTAGGTCTTTGGGCCTAGCACCCTTCAGCCCAAACTCACCAACCTAGCCCAGATCCAGTTGGAATATTCCAAGGAAAATTCCTGGAATATTCCTATGTTAACATTTTGCAAAATTTAACCAAGACCCTTCTTAGCGTAATTCAATGTCCTGGATCCATTTTTGACGTCCATTTTCCCAAATTAAATCATTTGGATAGAGTTTTATTAATTGTACCATTTATGTGCTTAGGGGCAATTATTTGTGATGATTTCGTGTTCGCTAGTTTGCGTGGCTCTTCAGCGGCTAAGTATCTGTGAGTGAACCCCTTTTAAAAATGCATGTTTTAATAGTAGAAATGCATACATGAAAAGCATGATTTAATGCTTACGTTTTATGAGATAACATGCTTACTGAGGCTATTTTGAATTATTACTATTTTTCCTATAACTCGTGTTCTTATAGAATATATGATGGATGACGATATGATATTTAGAACATGTTTTGTACACCTCTTTATAGTATAGATGATGGATGACTTTATACTATGAAGTTGTTTTTCAAATGTATGTATGTTCGATGGTTTTGTACTTACCTAGTGGTCCTTATTCCACTACAGGATGTAGGGACAGATTCTGGTCTGTCTCGGGCGACAGTTATGGTGTTGGCATATGGCCTGAAGTGTTTTTCCTCTGGCTACTAGCACAGGGACGGGGAGCCAGCATAGGGCCTGGGGGTAATTTTCCTCTGACTATTTGCTCAAAGATGGGGAGCTGGCATGGGGCCTGGGGGTTATTGGACATTCACTAGTGATTATTATATATACAAGGTATGATTTGAGACATTGCACGGCATGCTAGGTTTCAGAAAACCTATGTTTATCATGATATATATATGTGTTTTCATAAAACATAGGAGTTAGTACGTTGATAACTGCTTTATTATATATATATATATATATATATATATATATATATATATATCAACTTGGTCTACTCAGGTTTGTTTGCGCCCCCTTCAGGATTTAGAGTTCGAGGCATACAATCCCAACGTCCAGGCACTTCTGCATCGGCATCTTCGAGTCCTCTTGATGTAGGACCCATTCTTTTATTCATTCAATTTTATATTAATTATTTTAGTATTCTAGGTAGATGTATGCTCTGAACACGTTCCTTAAATGCATATTCTTTATTTGTAAATTTATAAGTCTTATTTATTCCTTATTCTCAGCATTTGCATTCAATAAATGACTTTTGTCACCCTCGGGTGTCAGCCAGCACGTGCCTATCCTGATATTTGGGGAATATCAGGATCGAGGCATGTCAAAGCGCTTCCCTTTCTTGCCTAAGTAGCTTTCTTTCTCTTTCATTAGCTTGAAATAATCTCTCAACAGCTGCAACTTTTGCATCCTTTCTAGCCTTATGAACCTCAAATTTAGCCATTTCCCATGCCAAAGTCAATTCACCTTGGTGAGCAAGTTCTTCCATATATTTTGCATAATCATTCTTGGAAGCACTCTCTTTTCTCTTTGAAGCCTTCTTACCTTAAAGCCTAATTGGATAACGGGTCGACCCTGGCACTTGTTCATGGGGCATTTCCAGCACTTCTTCTGCATCATCTTTATGAACATGTGAGACATGATCGGGCGTAGAGTGTAGATGGGTGATGTTCATGACAACTTCTGGACCGATATGCACAACTCTGAATTTAGGACAATCTTTGACAATATTCCAACATTCCCACCGGGGGTGAATGATTTGTTTTTGTTTTTGGTTTTGGCATTATACCAAGCTTGTGCTTGAAGTGTCTACACAATGAGGGAAAAGAAATAATTATAATCAAAGTAGCTAATGTAAATTTGGGTATAGTACAAACAAATAAATAATATATTGTTACCTGATCTGCTAAATTTTCCCCACTTCGAAGATTACTACTAGCTTGTGCCAAGGCGTCTTGACACGCCCCGATCCCGATATTTCCCGAATATCAGGATAGGCACGTGCTGGCCGACACCCGAGGGTGACGAAAGCCATTTATTGATGCAATTGCTGAAAATAAGACTTATAAATATAAAAGAATAAGCATTTAAGGAACGTGTTCAAAGCATGTGACTAACTAGAATACAAAAAAAAACGATATAAAATTTGATGAACAAAGGAATGGGTCCCACACCAAAAGAACTCGAAGAGGCCGATGCGGAAGTGCCTGGATGCCGGGATTGTATGCCTCGATTCTAAGCCCTGAAGGGGGCGCAAAACAAACATGAGTGGACCAAGTTGATATATATATAATAAAACAGTTATCAACGTACTAACCCCCAGGTTTATGAAAACACATATATAATGATAAACATAGGTTTTTCGAAACCTAGCATGATGTGCAGTATCTCAAATCATAACTCATATATAATAATCACTAGTGAATTGTCCGATAACCCCCAGGCCCAATGCCGGCTCCCCGTCTCTGAGCAGACAGTCAAAGGAAAATACACTTCAGGCCCCATGCCGGCTCCCCGTCTCTGTGCTAAATAGCCAGAGGAAACACACTCCAGGCCCTATGCCAACACCAAACCGTCGCCCGGGACGGACCGGAATCTATCCCTACGTCCCGTAGCGGAAAGGACCACTAGGTAAGTACGAAACCATTGAACATATATATTTTGAAAAACAACTTCATAGTATAAAGTCATCCATCATCTATACTATAAAGAGGTGTTCGAAACATGTTCTAAATATCATATCGTCATCCATCGGATATTCTATAAGAATACGGGTTATAGGAAAAATAGTAATAATTCAAAGTGGCCTCAGTAAGCATGTTATCTTACAAAACGTTTCGTAAAACGTAATCATCAAATCATGCTTTTCATGTATGCATTTCTACTATAAAACATGCATTTTAGAAGGGGTCCACTCACAGTACTTAGCCGCCGAAGAGCCACGCAAACTAGCAACCACGAAAACGTCACAAATATTGCCCCTAAGCACATAAAGGGTCCAATTAATAAAACTCTATTATAATAATTGAATTTGGGAAAACGGACATTGGAAACGGATTCAGAACGTCGAATTACCCTAAGAAGGGTTCCGGACGAAAACCTGAAAAGTCCACCCTAAAGTCAACGTTGACCGGGGGTCAACGGTCAAATTAGGTCAAATGGGTGTTAGGCTTGACATCTGGATTAGGGTTTAGGTTTAGGTTAACTAGGATTAGGATTTATTGGGTTTTGGGTTTAGGGTCCTAAGGTTTTTGGATTAAAAGGGTTTAGGGTGAAGAAATGGGGTTTGGGCCTAAGCCCAAACACATACACACCACAAACACACATACACATGCACGGCATGCACATGCATGCATGGCATGCATATACACACACGCACACACACTTAAACACACACACACAAACTCACACACTCACACAGCACACACATACTAAATATACACACACACACACGGGTACACACCCACACACCCACACAATCTAAAACACACACACACATGGCCCAAAGGCCTCACAACCAAAAGGGTTGGGCTCAGCAGGGAAGGCCCAATGGGCTTGGTTTTGGTGGGTCGCCGGACCCAATGGGAGAGAAAGCCGGAATTCGGCCGGAAAATGCACAATCTTTAAACGGCCATAACTTTGTCAAAACTCAACGAAATCAAGCGAGACAAAAACAAAAGTTGTAGCCCTTGAAGAGACGAAGAGAATGGTACCTCACACGACGTCTAACTCGCCGTGGTTTGACCGGAAAACGCATCGAAATCTGTCGGACTCGCCAGAAACTGGGTAAGATTCAAATGAGTATAACTTCTTCAATACTCAACTAAATTGGGTGAAACAAAAAGGAAAGTTGTAGTACTTGACGAGACGAAGAGATTGATACCTTGTACGCCGACCAACTCGCCGTAGTTTGGCCGGAAATTTCCTCGAAAGGGGCGATGCTCGTCGGAGGCTTCTGGGATTTCGTCGTCCTTTCTACAACGGGTGAGAGAAAACTGCAGAGGTTGTGATGGGTGCTGTCATCTTCATTGATGTGGTGTGGAAGTGAGGATTTGCAGGGAGGAAGGGCACGGGTGAGAGGGAGAGAGTTGTGCCGAGGGAGAGAAGAGGAAGAAGAGAGAAAGAGAGACTTTTCAGAAGAAAAAGAAAATAAATAAAAGAAAGGGAAAGGGAACGGGGGACAAAACAGGGGGTGGGCCCCTTGGGCACACCATTTAAGACCCAAAACAATTTTAAAAACAAGATAAACTCAAACTTAGTAAAAATACGATTTAAATTAGGGGCGGGTGTAACAATCTACCCCCTTAAAAGAATTTCGTCCCCGAAATTTAAAATCACCTACTAAACTGAAATACACGTAAATAGTAAAAAGAATATATGTCTAAAGAGAAATCAAGTCAGAGTGGGTGCATCAAAGAGAATATGCCACACCGTCGCGAGCGGGTTGCAAAATCCTCTATCATGCCTCCAAACTCTTACTTTCATCCCCATCAGTGTAAAAGTAGAAAACATTAATAAGATATAAGGTCAAAAACATATATTGACATAAGGTCAAAAATAAGTACGCAAAATACTATAGCGTCAAAAATAGATATGTACTAACATATAGGTCAAAAACTCGAGCTGAATTTAAAATTGAAAACAGAAAACACTTTCCTCAAAACATTTGTAACACCAAAAACAAATAACCAAAGTAAATGAAGTTAAAATACTTATACTGAAAACCAAAACTGAAAGATGAGAGTGGGTCTCGCCCAAGAATTCGTAACTTCACGTACTCCGAGAAAAGATGTGCCTTTGGGTCGAATCCCAAGAATAACGAATCTGTAACAATTGCCGTAGACGGATCTTCCTGCCCACTTGCTTAACGAACCCAACAAATAAGTTATCGATACAACAGTCGGCCGCCTGTGATATCGATCACACATTTGTTGTCTCGATAAGCAAGCAGTAATTAACTGAGGGTGCACAATTTTACACGTCGAAAATTCAATCCTCCGACTACTAGCTCACAATACTCATCTGCTAACCAGTGTTGCATGTACCAACTCTCGTACCATGCAACAACAAGTGCCATACTCAAACCGAACAAAATAAGAACTGTCCTTGTAAAACTTTATCCATCACCAAGCATCCTATCCTCCTCAGTTCTTCCAAATGTGACTAACTACTCCAGTGCTTCACCAGTAAAGAACCCTTTTGAAAACTGTACCTTGGGATTCAAGGGAAGTGGCTACCATGTTAGTAGTAGACCCAAAAGCTCGAACCAAGCAGAAAACGAGAAGTCATCTTCCTCAACACACAGTATCTCTTGGGAGTTGTTGTAATGCTCAATCCACCTCTCCATTTTTGCTTAGTTGTAGACTTCTAGTCAAACAAGGTCAAAGTTGGTGGAAAGAAGAAGGACTCTCAAGTGATCAACGTAAAAACCCCATGAGAGCACACCCCATTCAAGAGAAGTTTAAAGATCTTCCGATTCTCACATCGACAACGCGGTGGTGTCATTCCAGAGTGCACCAAACAGATCTGCTATAAGTGTTTCGACATCCACCTACTCACAACAATAAGGTTAAGAAGTGAAGCAGTGGAAATATGCGTTGAGATGAACACATATCGTTGGAAAATAACCGATGTGATGCCTATGAATTCTAGTAAGATGGTGATACAATATGCTGACCTTCTGTACTAAAACCTTCAACCAACTCTTACTAAAAGACCGCTCAAACCTCACGCCCATGTGCTCTCGAACCGAATGATCCTGGTGAGAGGTAGTGGAAAGCTGCGTTGAGGCGAACACATCACATCATCGAAAAGATGTACTAGAGTAAGATATGATGGTTATGAATTGTAGCAAGATAATGAATGGTGACCATTCAATTAGCGTGAAGATAGTGATGCAATATGCTACTCATCTGCATCACAATCTTTCACCGGTCTCTTACCAAAAGACGACTCAAACTTCACACCCACGAGGAACTCTTTCTGGTAAGTCTGGTAAGCTTGTCAAAATATTATACTCCCATCATTCCTATCCAAAACGATAAGAATTGGGTGCACACTTCCGCCGAATCGATCGATCGTGAATTCCTCACTGATTGAGCGAGAAAACATGTCGGTAAGGCTAAAAGAACACTCAAGAATTTGAGAGTCAAAACAAGTCCATTAAAACTGGAGTACAAGATATCGGGATTTAAACCAGAAACCATGCTGAGAACAAATTTATTTATTTTTGTTCCGGCATGATTCAATTTACATTGAGAAACAAACAAGCGAAGGAAAATGAAGATGCAGAAATAGAAGTCACTGTTTATGATTATTTGGCTAATCATCACAATAAGGTTGACGGGTTTCTTAGCCAAAAGGAATAGGTCTAATCTCAAGAATAGTTAAGAACTGTTAATAAGATTTGACGAGGCCAAAGACATTTCGAAATTCACAATACTTTGTGAGAGCTGTTTCAAAGTTTAAAATTAAACATAGAACCTCTGAATCAACAGAATGACGATGAAGAAAGATATGAAGCAGTCTGCGTATGCATGCAGTGACACGATTGGCTACCTTAAAGTGATGCCTCTAAGCAAACCAAAGCTCAATGAGTCCAGAGAAGTTTAGAGTCAAGCTCGATCTTCGTACAATGATGAATATGGTAGAGTCTCAAGCCATTATACTGAAAATTACAAGGCTAAACAGTTAACGGACAAGAGCACTGGTCAGTTGGGCTACAAGCAAGAGGTTAAGTTTACCTCTACCGAAAAGTACAAGGACAAGGGGCATTTTACCACCGAGTACCAGACCCAGGTGAAATTCAAGGAATTTGTTTATCCAAACAAAACTAGATCTTCATCATCCAAGTCCAACTACCACAACAACGAGAATCGTAACTCCATTTTGGGAAATTGATGGGAACAACATCTGCTACCGAGGAGTTTCCCAAGAAAAGTGTAATCTCTAGACGAAGTCAACTCCCGAAGGATTTGATGTGAAGTCGACGATCAAAGGTTCGTGAACTTGTCTTCTTCATTGAGTAAACAAGAAGGTAATCGATAGAACAATCGCCGAGAATTGTTATAAAGATTCACCCAAATTTCTTCGGTGGTAATGAGTCCGAGAACATTGATTTGCTCCCACCAACTACCACCTACTAACCGTCGTCACCACTAGCACTTACTCGCTTCTTTAGCACGCACTTTGAATATTTCAAGCAATTTCCAATAGATATGACTCTGCCCGCCATTCCTAGGGAACGCATGTTGCAGAGTGATATCATCGCTTCAGATCTCCAGTTGGTTTTAACCAATTCGTACTGCCAAAATTTTTCCGTTTCCCAAGATTTCAATGCAAAGCCGACTCTGCTCGCAATTCCTAGGGAACGCATGTTGCAGAGTGGCATCGCCATTTCGGATTTACAGCTGGTCTTGACCAGACTTCCTTAAACTGAGATTTCTAAAACATGCCGCTTCCAGGTAACACCAACTCTACCCGTCATTCCCAGGGAATGCACGTCGCAGAGCATCGATCCGAAGTTGAAAGTCGTCCAACAATTCAAACACGTCACCGATGAGGCACAATCCCGACACAAATTCTTGTATATCAACCCGAATGTGACAATTCAAACAGAGGAAGATTCGTACGACTGCGCCGAATGGCACCAAATCTAGAAGTCTGGACATCCAAATGATGTCAAAACCAACACTTTACGATAATAGAAGAGGATCCTAAGTATGCTCTGAACAAACCACGCTCTGATACCAATCTGACACGCCCCGATCCCGATATTTCCCGAATACCAGGATAGGCACGTGCTGGCCGACACCCGAGGGTGACGAAAGCCATTTATTGATGCAATTGGTGAAAATAAAGGATAACTAAGACTTATAAATATAAAAGAATAAGCATTTAAGGAACGTGTTCAAAGCATATGACTAACTAGAATACAAAAAAAACGATATAAAATTTAATGAACAAAGGAATGGGTCCCACACCAAAAGAACTCGAAGACATCGATGCGGAAGTGCCTGGATGCCGGGATTGTATGCCTCGATTCTAAGCCCTGAAGGGGGCGCAAAACAAACATGAGTGGACCAAGTTGATATATATATAATAAAACAGTTATCAACGTACTAACCCCCAGGTTTATGAAAACACATATATAATGATAAACATAGGTTTTCCGAAACCTAGCATGATGTGCAGTATCTCAAATCATAACTCATATATAATAATCACTAGTGAATTGTCCGATAACCCCCAGGCCCTATGCCGGCTCCCCGTCTCTGAGCAGACAGTCAAAGGAAAATACACTTCAGGCCCCATGCCGGCTCCCCGTCTCTGTGCTAAATAGCCAGAGGAAACACACTCCAGGCCCTATGCCAACACCAAACCGTCGCCCGAGACGGACCGGAATCTATCCCTACGTCCCGTAGCGGAAAGGACCACTAGGTAAGTACGAAACCATTGAACATATATATATTGAAAAACAACTTCATAGTATAAAGTCATCCATCATCTATACTATAAAGAGGTGTTCGAAACATGTTCTAAATATCATATCGTCATCCATCGGATATTCTATAAGAACACGGGTTATAGGAAAAATAGTAATAATTCAAGTGGCCTCAGTAAGCATGTTATCTTACAAAACGTTTCGTAAAACGTAATCATCAAATCATGCTTTTCATGTATGCATTTCTACTATAAAACATGCATTTTAGAAGGGGTCCACTCACAGTACTTAGCCGCCGAAGAGCCATGCAAACTAGCAACCACGAA